GTGACCGTGGGGTCACGTAGCAACGCCTGTGAGGATGCTGCAGGTCGGGGCAGCGCCTCGTTCTGTTGTGCGCGGGGCACCTGTGAGTCGGGTCTGACTTGACGGGCCTACCAACAACAGCAGCAGTCCAGGGTCCAGCGACATTGCAGAGGGCGTGGGGGAAAGAATAGGGCCCGGTAGTTACGTTGCCACCTCTGGAGTAGGAGCAGGGGTGTGAGGACTCACGGGGAGCAACATTGTCACGGAGGCGCCGTCAACTAGAACCTCCAGCAGGTTTGCTAGATGACCCTCCAAGTAGAAGGTACTTACTTACAATGAGGTCCATCATCCCCACTTCACACATCAAAACAGAGGCTTGGGGAGGAGTGTGTCCTTGGCTGTGCTGTGGCCGGTCAGCATATTCATGAGTTGACACCCAGAACACACTCAAGGAGCGTTTATTGAGTGCGAAGTAGGCTTTTTTGTTGTGGTAAAATACGCATAACTTGAAAAGCACCATATTATGATCATGAGGCCAGAAGAACTAGATGGTGCCCGGCTACCACTGTCAACCACTCAGAGGGGGATCGTTACAGGAGATCCTGGAGAGAGTGAGAGAACAATGCGGAACAAAGCTCAGAATCATAAAATTTAAAAAAAAGGACGAGGTTTGCTGCTCTGATAGAGCCTGGTGGAACCCCTGAGACTATGACCTCTAGTTACCCTTTAGGTCTGGAACTGAACTCACTCCATGGCTTCCAGCCAAACAATAGACAGGCATATGGGCTGAACATTGACATCAAGTAGATACACTCCTTGGAGCAATCAATCATGAGAGAACAGAAGGGCAGTGTTTGCACAGGGAGACAGCTTGGGGGCGGGAGTGCAGGGGAAGGAAGGACACAGGGAAGAGGTAACTACAGGGAAGAAGTGGGAAGAGAGCTGTTACATTGTAGGGAATTGTAGTCAATGTCATGAGACAAAATGTGTATGAACTGCTATATGGAAAATGAATTTGCCTGTAAACTTTCACCCAAATCACAATAAAAATTAAAAAAAAAAAAGTACCATATTAGCCATGTTAAAGTATACAGTTCAGTGGTGGTAAGTCTGTTCACACTGTTGTGCAGCCATCACTTCTGTCCAGTTCCAAAACATCTCCTCATCCCAAAAAAACCCATGCCCATTTGCAGTCACTCCCCATTCTCCCTTCCCCTCAGTCCCTGGCCACCACTAATCTGCTGTCTGTCTCCATGGACTTGCCTAGTCTGAAAATGTCATTTAAATACAGTCATACGATATGCGGCCTCAGTGTCTAAGTCCTTTGACTCAGCATCATGTCTTCAAGGTTCATCCATGTCCTAGCACGTCTCAGTATTTCACACCTTTCTACGGCTGAATAGCATCCTGTTGTATGGCTGGACCGCATTTTGTTTATCCATTCACAGCTGAGGATGTCTGGGTTGGTTCTACCTTTTGGCTGTTGTGAGTAGTACTACAGTGAATATGATGTATAAGGTTTTGCATGGCTGTACGTTTTCAGCTCTTTTGAGTATATACCTAGGAGTGGAATTGCCAGGTCGTTTGGTAGCACAGTACCTAAGGCATTTGACTGCTAACCAGAAGGTTGGTGGTTCAAACCCACCAGCTGTTCCACGGAAGTGACTGGGCAATCCACTTCCATAAGGATTTACTGCCTCAGAAACCCAATGGGGGTTGCTTTGAGTCATAATCGACTCAACAGTTTATGATAATTGGGTTTATGATAATTCTGTGTTTAACCTTTGGAGGAGCTCATAGTTCTTAAGGAATTCCCAATCCGTAAAGGAACCAATCCCAAGACTGAGGGTTTAGGCCTCCACACCAACTCCCACCTCCTTGGGAGCTCCTTCTGCTCCCAGGCTCACGGGAGCACCAACACCTCATTGACGAGCTGAGTGCCTGTCCCCCTAGGTGACTCCCCCGGGAACTGGCCCAGCCCAGACGCTTCTGGGCCTGACTGCAGCAGCTGGGCTCCTGCTTCCCTTGAGAGGGTCCCCAGGAAGATGGCCCGTCTGAGGTCCGATTGACAGACACGGGATCGGGAATTGTCTGCAGTTGGCTCCAGCCGTCCCTGCCCCTCCTTTGCCCTCCCACTCCTCTGGGATTTCTGTCCCAGCCACACCCCCAGGCCCCCAAATCCTTGACCTTCCGTGTCCTTTCACGCCTCTGGTCATTTGCTCGCGCTGCTCCCACCCTCTGGAAGCCTCCCCGTCATCCATCTTGGGCTTCTGAGGTCTCCTGACCTTCCCAGGAAGGCTCAGGGGACACCTCACCGCATCTCCCCACCGGAGTTCCCCCCACAGCACCCTGCTCGCACCTGTAAAATGGCCACGATTGCATTGAGTTAGTTGTTGATGGTGAACTGGAAAGTTTTTCTATACGCGTCTTGCTGGGTTATTGAGTTACATGCTTACATTGAGTTAGTTGTTGATGGTGAACTGGAAAGTTTTTCTATACACGTCTTGCTGGGTTATTGA